GTATGAATTGGGATTGCATATAATAGTCTTCCAGGACTCAATAAGTTTGGGAGAAATATTGGGTTTTGAAAAAATAAGATAAACAGCTTTCTTTAATGCAGAATTTCTCAGAACTTGTTATTGCCCTTTGGATCTCCAAAGTATAAGAAAAAGAGTAAGCAGTGTTTTCCACAATTAGTTGACCACAAATAGCATTTCCTCAGAGTTTCTTATGTGATTGTGCTCAAGACAAAGGTTGAAAAACACCAGAATGAATAGCAGAAGATAAACATTTTCTAAAGAATTCTAAAATATCTGATTTTTTTTTCTGAGAACAGCTTTAGAATTACATTTCATTGACTTCCAACATTATACATTCAGATTCTCATAGTTTTCAGTCAAACATAATCTAAAAATCATGGAGTTTGTCACAAAGGTGTAGGATAATTTCCACCTGAGATATAAACTCATTCTCTCACCTGGGACAGGTCACATGCAACATAGGGAATTTAACCTGGAACATGCCTCATGTCTTGGTTTCCCTGTTTTTAAAGGAATGAGTTATAATAAGCCCACATACCTTTTCCTTGTGAAGAAAGAAGCGAGACTTCCTATATATTGGGAGGCAGCAGTAGGAAAAGCACAAAGCTTTATTGTCAAACAGAATTAGTTTTAAATCCTAACTCCACCACCTTTCAGACCTGCAGCCTTGGCCCAAGAGCTTCTCTCAGAGCCTGGCTTCCCTCATCTAGAGAAGGGGGATGACAATATAGTACCACCCTCACAGTGTCTTGGAAAGCAGTTGACAGTGAGTGTTAGAGTGTGAAGTTCATATTTTCAGACAGTGATTAGGATATACAGAAGTAAAAGGTTTATTTGTTTTCCCCAGAAGGAGAGAGAGAGAGAGAGAGAAGGAGGGAGTGGCCTCAGCACACAGAGAAAGGACTGCAAATGCTGGGCAATTGAGGGAAAGCAGCTTGTGTTTTAAAGGATAAAAATGGCTTTTTTATTCTCTGCTTTGGCAGTCTGATAACAGAAGCAGCTGTAAGATGTCACAGAGTTTTTTTATTTTTCTCTGTGAGGCTGAGTTTATCTGAGTCCTTAAAATCTGGTACTGGCGAGAACTGAAGTGGAGAGTTTACACCACTGCTGTCTGCTTAGGGCTCTTCAAGGCTGAGAAAACAAAGTCTTAGAGAGAACAAGTTAGACCACAGGTGTTTTAATTAAACAAAACAAAAGGGGTAGTTGTGTTGTGAGTTTCCTTTTCAAAGGGACAATTATGTGCTGTGAGTTTATTTCTCTTACTTTTTGTTTGATAGTTGATTTTCCTCTGTTAAGTAGATTATTAGTAAGGCCACCTTTCAGTGAGTGCCTGGCACAAATCTTTATCTCCTTCCCTTCCCAGCTGCAGCCCAGGGTAACAAAACTCATCTATCAAATGTAGATTAAAAGAGGCACTCCTCCAGTTTCACATGCTTCTAAACATGTTACTGGCTACTCACCTGCAGAAAGGATACCGGCAGAGGATGTGCAAGGCAGAGCCAGGGAACACTCACACTTCTCTTGGGCATTTATTTGCCTGTTTGCAACACCCAGAAGGAAGACATGTCCCAGCACAGGTAGAGCTGTCAGTGCTGACAGCAGTGAGGGACATCTGTAGTCCAGTCACGGTCACGTCTGGGAACGTAGAAAGTGTGGTGGAAGAACAGAGTGGGTGCCTTTCTCTGTGGAATAGCTCACCCACTAGCCCTCCAGTGCCAAAGGAAAGAGCCATACCATGTGCCATGCCTACTCTAAAGGTCTTAGATTGTTAAACAGTGATTTTTTGCGTGTGAAAATATGAAACATTGATGGGCTTTTCTTGATAATACCAGGATTCACAAGCATAAAACACACACAGAAACAACCAGTATTGTCCCTTTTGGAGAACGACCAGGATCTGGCAAGTTGAATAAGGACAACTTTGCCCAGTTAATGAAGGCCATGGACGAGTTGGACAATATTAATAACATGCCAGAAGGCTTGGACCCGTTGGTCTGGGATCATTTCTGCACAACCAGACGAGCAAAAGTGGAAAATGAACAGAAAGTATATAACATTTTAATTTAATCTAATTTAATTCTTAGTGTAATATCAAATATATAGTTTACATTAGTGCATCCACAAAAGCTAATTATTTAGATATTCCTGCTAGGGTAGTAGTTGGCAATAACAGCGATAAAATAATTATATTAACCTTGGTGCTATTGAGGGCTAAGTATAGGCCTGTGCTTGTGGACTGGCGCTGTCAAAAATAGTGGCCACCAGCTATATGTGGTGATTGCTGGCAGAAGACAAAGTGAGAGTCATTGTCTTAGTCACTCAACAACGCAATAGAGTTGTTGCTGCCTGGATTGGGGGAAGGATAAAAGGGATCTAATTTAATTTCCTCACATATTTTTCTCCTACTATAATTCTCCATTATGGGTGAACTTCATTCTATGCCATTATATATTTCTGAAAATCCATGAGTAAAATGAATTTTTGTTAACTTCTCTGGTTTAGGCTTTCTCTTGTACAAAAATAGGGACATCATCTAGCTTTTAGGGCTTTTTTTTAACTTCAGGTTGCAGACTCCATTAGTTGGTCATGAAATCAATTTGGTAGGCTGTGACCAGCAGTTTTATAATAGAAAAGAATAGAGTAGAATAGCCTAAAGAAGACGGAATGGAATGGAATGGATAGAATTGAATGAATAGAATAGAATAGTAATTTGCATGCCTTGTGGGTAAATACTATTTTGGAAACTTCTGTTTCTCAAAACAAATAAAAAGTTTCTGAACAAAATTGCAATCCTCACAATGACGTCTTTGTCCTTAGGTTCTGGATCGGAGCTTTAAAAAGGAATTTTCTGAAATTCCCAGTCATCAAGTCGATATACTCTACAAACTTTTTAAACGCCGACCAAGGTTTGTTTCTCCTTTGCTATTATGTTTCTGAGAAAAAGTTTGTAAATGAAAAGGAGTGTTATTTGATTTCAGCTTTTTTCTCCCAATTAGATGAAAATATTCACTATAATAATCTTTTAGGTGGATATGTTTAAGTGTCTCGATAATAAGTCAGTGTTTTTTAAGATGATGCCTGTATCTTAAGGTAAGGAATGAAGAAGAATAATTTATTCTTATTATGTAAAAACAGTTAAGTATCTGTGTAAGTATAGTGCTATTATAAGTTCTACTCTGTACATGAAAGCAGTTTCTTTTAAGACATAAATGGCATATAGATTTATAAACAGTTTTTCCAAGACATATTCCAGCAAATATGAGTCCCTTGCAGTATGAATTGGGATTGCATGTAATAGTCTTCCAGGACTCAATAAGTTTGGGAGAAATATTGGGTTTTGAAAAAATAAGACAAACAGCTTTCTTTAATGCAGAATTTCTCAGAACTTGTTATTGCCCTTTGGATCTCCAAAGTATAAGAAAAAGAATAAGCAGTGTTTTCCACAATTAGTTGACCACAAATAGCATTTCCTCAGAGTTTCTTATGTGATTGTGCTCAAGACAAAGGTTGAAAAACACCAAAATGCATAGTAGGAGATAAACATTTTCTAAAGAATTCTAAAATATCTGATTTTTTTTTCTGAGAACAGCTTTAGAATTACATTTCATTGACTTCCAACATTATACATTCAGATTCTCATAGTTTTCAGTCAAACATAATCTAAAAATCATGGAGTTTGTCACAAAGGTGTAGGATAATTTCCACCTGAGATATAAACTCATTCTCTCACCTGGGACAGGTCACATGCAACATAGGGAATTTAACCTGGAACATGCCTCATGTCTTGGTTTCCCTGTTTTTAAAGGAATGAGTTATAATAAGCCCACATACCTTTTCCTTGTGAAGAAAGAAGCGAGACTTCCTATATATTGGGAGGCAGCAGTAGGAAAAGCACAAAGCTTTGTTGTCAAACAGAATTAGTTTTAAATCCTAACTCCACCACCTTTCAGACCTGCAGCCTTGGCCCAAGAGCTTCTCTCAGAGCCTGGCTTCCCTCATCTAGAGAAGGGGGATGACAATATAGTACCACCCTCACAGTGTCTTGGAAAGCAGTTGACAGTGAGTGTTAGAGTGTGAAGTTCATATTTTCAGACAGTGATTAGGATATACAGA